AGAAAGAGGATGAGACTACGAGCGTCTGAGATCAAACGGCACCTGATTTGGAGTCCAAACGAGGGAGAAACGAAGAATCAAATATAGGGGACCCGGAACTGCAAAATACCCGACCATAATACCCTACCGGGTATTTTTGGCCATCGGATAGGGGATTTTTGGCAACATCAGAAGGCCCCCCGGTCGTGAACCAAAAATACCCGACCGGGTATTTTCCCTTTTGCCCAGAATAGTGACCCGGAGCATTTTGTTGATACCCGACCGGTTCCCTAAATACCCGACCGGGTATTCTGACCGGGGATCGCGAACACAAGCTGTTAAAAGCCTGTTTTGTGCGTTTTTGCAAGGGAGAGCTGGGTTTTGGATCCTAAACACCCAAGGGACGAACAAAAGAGAGAGAGGGCGATTTGAGGGCATTCTTGGAGTGGAATTGGGGGATTTCTTCGCCTTGGAAGCTCGAGGAACAAGCCCGGACTTGAAGACTGATCATCTGAAGATTCTTACTGTAGTCTCTCTCTTCTCTATGGAGTAACTTCTCTTCACTTAGGTTTTGAGGAACCCTAGCTATGTTATTTTGATTGGATGATTGTATGAGTACTCTGACTTGATAATCTTGAGTTCATATTCAATCTATGCATGATTTCACGATTCAATTCTGCTTTAGTCGAGATTATTGATTCTGCTTTGATCCTTTGAGAGCGAATACCTGATTAGGTCAATAGAGCACCATAGATTGATATTATTGGATCGATTTCTTTAGTCTAGGGTTGATTCACTGCTTTGTATCGATTGAGAACCTCATTCGATAAAGGGAATCTAGTTCAAAATGCCTTGATCAGTTATTCTAGGGAAGGATACGTCCCTCTCGGCAATTGACTCAAGAGGGCCTTGTTCCTTTAGTCGAGACTCAAGGTCTAGTTAAGGATTCTCCGCATTGTGAATGAGAGTGAAACAGGTTAGAGATCATCAATCATTAATCTGGCTAGTGGCTAGGGGGAATCATACCTAAGTGAGTTCCCAACCTGTAATTAGATTAACTTTAACTGTAGTTTGCTAGAGTAGTTTTAGTTGTTCTATCTTAATCTGGTTTGCTAGATAATGAACTGAAGCTAAGTAATAGTAACTCTAGAGACCCGTGGATTCGATATTTATTACTTGAGCCACTATACTACAGTCCCTTTCATTGGTTACACTTGGCCTTTGTTAGGTGTTGTGTCATAGCGAGTCAAGTTTTTGTCGCCGTTGCCGGAGACTTTCTAGATTATTAGGAAAGGCAGAAGCTTGTTATTTTAGCGTTTTTCTTTTCTTTTCCACCCTTGCTTTTCACTTGGGTGTTTTTGTTTTTGTTGGTGCAGATCTGAATCATGGATCCTCATGGCTTCTCCAATCATTGGGGGTATCCACCACCATCCGAGTGGTATTACCCGAGACTCCCTGGAGCAATCAAGGAGGAGAAGACTATGGATTCGGGTTCCAGTACCAACCCCCTTACTACGATGAACAATCAGACCCCTGGGCATATCAAGAACAACCTCCTTATCAAGAAGAATTTCTCCCACAACAAGAAGGGCCATCGGAGCTGGAGTTACCCATGGCGGCCTTCACGGGCCATTCTGTAGAGCCATGCTACACTCCACAGCCAGATCCAAACTATGAATTGAGGCTTCTCATGGAGCAGTTTGCTCGGGACTCCGAGAGACGCAATCGTAAGTTGGACCTCCTTTTCTCATCCTTTGCTCCTCCTAACTCTTCATCCCTCCGTGAATCGGAGGAGAATGTTTCGCACTCATCAAAGCAACCAGAGCGGTTTGAGAAAGTTTGTGCACAACTTGCTCAAGATCACCCGTCTGCTACCATGCTAGAAGAGGAGGAGGAATAAGAAGGCTACAAGGACATTGTGGAGCAAACAGAGATTATCACGGAGAGCTCCCGTGAAGATCATGGTCAAGAATGTCCTGTCGTAGCCGACCACCCCTTCCCACATCCCACACCGAGCTTTGAAGAGGCAGGCATGAGTGAGGAGATGCAAGAAGATCTCATGAAAGAAATTGCTTGGCAACTTGCTCTCCAATCCGTGCTAGAAGAAGAAGAGAGAGAAAGGTTGCAGAAAGAAGTTGTGGAGGATGACAAAAGTGAAGCGGAACGAGTTCTGGATCATTTCCCAGGGGTGATACCACATGAAGAAGGAAGGGAGGTTGAAGAAGCAATTGGCGTCCAGGCTGAGGACGGAGTTGAGGTGGAAGAGGCCTGCACCGGCCATGAGTTACATGTGATATCTCCACCAAACTTCGAGGAACTACTTAGCAAGGACCCATTTGCAGTGTCTCTTTGCCAGACCAAGACCACTTCGACATCGGTCCCTCTTGGTGGACGCGATGGTGGTCAATCGATGTTGTCATATCTGGTTTGGGGCAATGAGACGGGAGAAGAGAAGAAGAGGTCTCGAGGGTGGAGACTTCATCTGCATCAAGTGCACGAGCTTCCCTCACCTGTCATACCACATGCTCATGAATTGAGACTCCACCTCATTGACGAGAACCTCAACTTCAAGGAGGTTTTGGGGTGGACCAAAACTTAGGAGCTACCGTCCGGCTCACGACGTGAAAGAAGCGCTTGTTGGGAGGCAACCCAACCAGTCGGTTTGCATTTCTTTTTCTTTTTCTCCTCGGTTGAGTCAGTTTTGTTGTTTGATTTTAGAGTCAATAACTCAACCTTTGTGAGATTTTGTGTGGTGTTTGTGTTCTCACCACTCTCTCCTCCTGGAATACACCGCCTGCCCCGTCCACCATCATTCACCCTTGATCTGGTAACTTCGTTCTACCCTCCTTATCTTTCCTCCATTGAGGAAAATGTCGTGCTTAAGTGTGGGGGGATGTTCGATTATGTATGCGGGTGAATGTTTTGGCTGTTTGTGTGCTTGGAGCCTAGTCCACTGTCCAAATTTTTAAATTTGAGCCTAGTCCACTGTCACAAAAATGAGTGCGTTCAATGCACACAACTCAAAAACTAGTCTTAAGGAGTTGGATTTTGAATTTTAATTTGTAGAATTAGTGTAATATGATGATATAACATATGATAACAACTAATTAGCGGATTACCCTAAGCCCTAGACCTCCAATTTAGAGTCATATCCCTAAACCCCAAATTGTAAACCCTAACCCTAACCCTAAATCTTTCAAATTAAAGTAAATCTTCAATGATTTTTATGCAAATTCATGTGCGTTATTGTTCATCAGATCATAAGTGATGATTGACATCATTTTGACATAAATCACATGTTTAAAATAACGGTTTTGAAGCGAGTGCACTGAATGCACCCAAAAAAGTGAGTGCACCGAAGACGCCACTATATATATAGGGTTTACAATTTGGGGTTTAGGGATATGACTCTAAATTGGAGGTCTAGGACTTAGGGATATCCACTAATTAGTTGTTATCATATGTTATATCATCATATTACACTAATTCTACAAATTAAAATTCAAAATCCGACACCTTAAGACTAGTTTTTGAGTTGGGTGCATTGAACGCACTCATTTTTGTGAGTGCACCGAAGTAGTCACCATATATATATATATATGGTTCAGACTAGTGTATTCCTAGCGTACGCCCCATTGAGTTTTGCTATATAGATCATGAATTAACCGGAGTTTGGGGCATGATACTATACCCTAACCTCTAATGGGTAAACCCCAGTCCCTAATTTTCTAACCCAAACCATGAGATTCGTTTAATCTTAAAATGAAAATCAATGAAAATTTTGACGAATCAGGATCGTTGATTTTCATTTTTAAGATTAAACGAATCTCACGCTTTGGGTTAGTGAATTGGAGACTGGGATTCACACATTAGGGGTTAGGATATAGTATCATGTCCCAAACTCCGATTAATTCTTTGTCTAAATAGCAAAGCTCAATGGGGCGTACGGTAGGCTAGCGTACGCCCGGACGTACGCTAGCATTTGCCATATATATATATATGGTGTCGTCTTCGGTGCACTCACTTTTTTGGGTGCGTTCAGTGCACTCGCTTCATAACCATCATTTTAAACATGCGATTTATGTAAAAATGACGTCAATCATCACTTATGATGTGATGAACAATAACGCACATGAATTTGCACAAAAACCATTGAAGATTTACTTTAATTTGAAGGATTTAGAGTTTAGAGATTTAGGGTTAGGGTTTACAATTTGGAGTTTAGGGATATAACTCGAAATTGGAGGTCTAAGGCTTAGGGTAATCTGCTAATTAGTTGTTATCATATGTTATATCATCATATTACACTGATTCTACAAATTAAAATTCAACATCCGACACCTTAAGACTAATTTTTGAGTTGGGTGCATTGAACGCACCCATTTTTGTGAGTACACCGAAGTAGTCACCATATATATATAATATGCTAGCAAGTAATTATAGATAATTGGCCTCCATCTCCTCTGCTTGCAATTTCTTTCTTCGCAGTCCTCCGCTGTCAGCAGCTTCATTAGCGGCAGTCAGCAGGAGGAGTTCCCTCTCTGATGCCCATCTCAGGGGAGCACCACTGCCACCAGCAGCAATTACAACCCAACGACGACGAGAGGCAACGTGAGCTGTCCGACCTACTTTCGGTGGATCCACACGGTTAAGCCTTTCGCTTACAACACTACAGTTCGGCCTGCAACTGCCCATTCGCCAGCTGATTATTATTACGACGACTATTGCTTATTAATTTGGGTTAGGCCATCGAACACCCATGGTGAATGGCGAGTAATTATTCACCGCTTCCGATCGTGGCGGTGAAGCGTTCATCGCTTTTGACGGCCGCGGTAATGTTATTTACTGCGGTTAACGGCTGCGGTGAAGCGGAAACATGTGTAGATTGGAAATATTTTTTATAACGTATATATTTTGAGAATTTTTTTTAATAACGTGTGTATTTTGGGATCTTTTCTGTAGACGTCCTTGTGTTATTTTCATACTATTTAGGTCACAACATTAATACTATTTTTTTTTATCGGAACATTAATACTATTGAGCTACAATGAAATAACTAAACATAGAAAATTGACAACCTCCATAATAATTTCTTCATAATAATTTCATAGTATTACCAGTGGTTCTAGCTCTATTGTAACATTACTACTACAATTACTAGATGAGTCCTTATTTAATTATCTTCTGTGCGAAAAAAATTATCAAATAGTTGTGGGATTGATTCCAGTACACGAGGTTACTGATTCTGATCAAAGCAAAGAGAAGAGTAAGAGCCGCAACAAAAGACTACCACGGCACCACCAGGGAGGTCATCATGCTCACGAGCACCACTCGACTTCGCTTCCTAGCCATATCTAACTTCACTTGATGACGACTCAAACTCTCTCTATGCTGCCGTCTTTTGAACCCCTCCCCAAACTCCAGGCATAGACAAAGGACGAGAAGCCCCTAGATTGCGTAGATTGAGTCTTCTCTTCAATCATCATCAAACATCAGCAGCCATGCCCATTATGGTGAAGCTGCAGAAGCATCGTGCGCATTTGAAACATCAGTTTCCTTTGGTTTCTTTTTCTGCTTGTGTTTCTGCTGTTTCTGTTTCAACCTGGTTTGATATTTAGCAAACTTTTCCCACTCCTTCCTGTTCTTCTGATAAAGTAACATTGTGGCTCTTGCATCTTCTATCTGAAATAGCAAGACATGTCACCGATAATGCGTGTTCCTTCATCAGCTGCAATGCCAAGTCAGAAATCTGTAGCGAGAAACGATTAGTACAATGACCAGGTTTGACTTACAGAGCAGTGCTCTCCATATTGTATATTGACACCAAGAAACTCGGATGCAAGATGCTTAAGCGACTTCCTCCGTCCTTCCCTGGTTCAACCAACTACACCATATTAGTAAAGACACGCATGGAAACCAAAACCATGTTCATTAAACTGAACACTCAATAGTGATCTAAACCAAGGGACTCGACTGTACTTGAGGAAAGGTGGGTACTCTGAAGAATCACGCAGGTCCTTTTTTGGATGGTTTAATAGCAATGCCTATGTGGGGAAAAAGAAGACAAATCATTCAACACTTCTGACCAGATGTCCTCCACATGGACTAAGAAATGAAAACCAGGAACTGAACCTTAAAATCGTTGGACAGGGCATGGCCCACAAGAATCCTTCCCATAATCAACTCGGACACTTCCTTCTGCACAGCTGGAAAATTCTTGGCTGCAAGACAAACAAATAAGTCAGGTTCAAGGTCATTGTTTCGATTATTAGCTAGAGAGAAGTTAAAGGTCTTAATGCAATCTTTTAGAACTACACGATTAACTCCAACACGTTACTACATAGCTAAGACATTAACATAAGAGAAAACCTAATGACATTTAGTTCATTTATCCTAATAATGTTTCCTTATCCCAAGACATTATGGCAGAATTTCTTTCAGCGTCATTTGAATGGAAGATTGTGAAAGAAGTCGAGTATAATATTTAAGAGGCATAGAAATTTATGATCTTGGTTCAAAATATCAGATCGAGAGGCCAAAAAATATTGACAGTTAATATGAGGACACCGCCAAGTATTCTTGATTTCTTTACAGGGGAAGAACCAATACCAGTCCCCCAGCATTAAACTGGTACTTTGACTTCAAGGAGGGGGAGCATAGACCCATATCTCGAGAATACAACCACAATTGATCGAACTGCTAACACCCAGATGCATTGACCAATTGGTACAGTTAAAAGGCAATTAAACACTGAAATAGTATGCCAAATTAAGGTCGACACTCAAAAGAAATACGTACATTGCAATGCATCAAGACATTATGAAAGTTATTCATACTACTTCATTGATTTATCAAGTTTATATTAGACAGAGGTTGATTTCAGAAACTGAAAAGGGTACAGAAGAATCCAGTAATAGAATAAAAAAACGACATTCTGCATAGCTGTACAGAGTGATCAGTATCATGTGAGACCAGCAAACCCACCTTTTTTCAAGTCCTTTGGTCGAATTCCACTAATATGTGTGCGGAAGTCTGCAACTAACTCCATGGGTCGAACAAATTGATCATATATAACGTTTCCCCACTTATTTACCTGGATTGATTGAATCAATATCAGACGCCAAACTATTGTCCAACATGCAATAATCAGACAACTTCCATATTAACTAATGCAAGGAGACGCTGAGATTTCCTTGCCTAGAACCTAAGAGGTCTTACACTGGCATCTGTATTTCTCCAAAGAGACAAATATTCAAACAAAAAGATCAAAAGATCTACGCAATAAAGAAACTCAAACTCATCAATGGACAACAGATGCACAAGAAAGATTAAAGTATTTGGACTGACATGGAGTTGTCTTGCTTATAGAAAATAGAAAGCAATAGAAAATGACTCAGGATTTGAACAAGCTAGACAACTAATTGAGATCCCCAGTGGCAAAATTGACAGTTAGCTGAAGGTTAAGAAGCTCAGCTTGGGCACGACACTACATTCAAAATGCGGAAAATGGAAAGCAATAGAAAATAGGAATTACCAATGTAACTCGTCCAAGAGCACTTCGGTTTGCCTGACCAACACCAACCATTTCACAATCCATGGCGACAGCATCTGTCAAACTGGATGATCATTGTTGGTTAAAACGGAGATCCTTTTTATGTATAAAACAAGTATTAGTGCTTTTGATGCACAGCCTCACAGCCAAAAGTACACCAAAAAGGTTTCAGAGCAGAAAACATCTACTGTCCAAAAGCCTCGACAGATATTCCAAACTCTAAACAACACTTCAAAAGAAAATAATCTTTACACATTAGGGTAACTCCATCTACTACCTATTTTTCAAATTTTAAGTATGCTCTTGTGCTGTCTTTATCATCCAGAGTACCTATTCGCTTTCAATCATCCATTTGAAAAATATGTATTATATACAGAAAGCCTTTCTTCAGTGGAAAGCATAGAAGCAATCTGGAAATTTCCTGCTCTATACATATGAAAGCATAGCAACAGATTCCTCAAACAGTTTTTGCTCTTAGAAGCACTTTCTAAACTGGTACTTGCTACTATGTTAATATCTACTAAGAACCCACTTTGACGTGATAACTTGTACCTAGGGTGTTACGAAAACATAGAAAAGAGTCATATGTCATGAATTTTCCAGCACCCTTCATCAAACTCAAACTGCGTAAAATTCAAACTCTCAACCTCTTACTAATATAGGATCTCGTACTATGCATAACGACTCCAGCCAATAACTTGAACCCATTCGACGAGATCTAGCACTCAACTTACCATATTCTCTGGCAATGTATAACTCGATAAATGTTTTACCTACCCATTGCTGCATAACTAGTATTGACAATTGAATGCAAAAATTTTCTTCACCATGAATACAGTTGCGATTTTCTTCAATTTATGGGGCTGAGCAATGGAATTATTGGCTATGTCATGCACATATCGAAAAACACATAGCACATACCAGCTCTAACGAGTAACGACACCATACCTTTCAATCCATAAAAGGATCAAACACTATTAAAAGTAGGAAATTAGAACCTGAAATCATCGTTTGACGGCACAAGAGGACTCTGCTTAGGATCCTCGGACTGCTCATCAGTTCTAGCTTTACGCTTTCCTGCGAGAAGGTAGTCCAAAATCTCAGAAGCTTCCAACGAAGTATCATAAAGTTCCTTGAGATAGGTGATCAAGAGAACATGTTTTTCACCTAAAACAAGCCTCTGAGTTCCTGGATTCAGATGGTCTGAGGGCCTCGACGGCTTCAAACCAGGGCGGAGGTTCAGCTTCTGCATAGGCGGAAGAAGATGAATGCGGCAGAAGGAAAAGGCATATAAAGAAAACTAAGGAATAAAACAAAACTTTTACTTGTTGGAGTTGAGCCCAGTTGGGATTCAGCGGAAGCCGTTGGTGATTAAGGTTTTTAATCTTCTTCTCCTTCAACTGTTGCTGCTGCTCCATCTTATGGCTGCAGTTTGTGGCCGCCAGCATCTACAGTGCCTCCGTGAGTGCAAGCTTCTACAGCTCTTTTCAAAATTGATGGACCACTGCAATTGACCTATTTAAAAATCGTCTTCAGAAGAGTAAGATTCATGCATCTTGGCTTTCGCCACACAGTATATTTACCACTCAACCTAAAGAGTAGGAAAGCATGGAGTAGACCTCAATCGCAAAGCTTTAATTGAACTCCAAAAGGATAACCCTCAGCTAGGGGTCGGCTCACACAAGCTTCAAACAACAAATCATTTAGGAAAATTCCAAATCGAGCTTGACTAGACAAAAGCTTGAGAATGAGCTTAAAGATTTTGGCTTCAAAGATACTAAGGTACAACTTCTACTTAATTAAGCTTGAGCTTGAGCTCCCTGGGTATATAAACTTCAGATATCTGGCCTGGAAAAAGCAGATTCCTTTTCATCATAATATCTAACTATATGAACATCTATAAGACCATTCCATTCAAAGTAAAAGTGCATGATAAGAATCATTTGCATAGTTGGTCTTTTAAGAACAAAATCTAGTATCTGAATTCAACATACAACTCAAATAGATCTCAACTAATAAATTTGACAATAAATTAGATATATGCATTGAAAGAACATTTTCCAATCTGAATTTTCTTTTGGCATACAAGTCATCAACTTTTTTTTGAAACTTTACAAGTCATCAACTCCTACTGAAAAGAAAAGGTAACGTAATGCTGAAACCACTCCAACTTACCTAATTCAGTCAAAGCATCATAATATCTATACATTCTAAGATTCAATTGTAGCACACAAGATATTCGTGTGTTTACTAATTCAAAGAGCACTGAGCCAGGTAGATAAGCATCAACTAATTAAGAACATTAGGTTGGAAAACAATTGCAGGACTAAAACAAAGTTAATCATGATTAGCTTGGATTTTATAATTAAGACAGGTTACCCCACATATGATATGCACATCAAAGAGTCTCTGTGTAAGGATATTTGGTCCAGGTTTCGGCAGTGAAGAGGGAAGACAATGAGCAAATACAGTTTTATTGGATGTCCTAGAAGGGATGAAGACAATGAACAGATCAAAATTCAATGAGCTAACATGGCTGAGTCCAGAGTAAGGAATTAACAAAATTAGACCCAACCCAAAGCACTTAAAACTTATAGGCAAAGAAGCTATGAGCAGGTGGCAAAGACACATATAATCTAAATACGGCCTAGTAAAATGGAGATGAAAGCATTTGACTCGCCATCTGCTCAAACTTATGACCTCTACATCCAAAATGGTAGCATCCTGTAAGAATGTCCTTACACCTTGTGCCGGTGAAGACTAGCAATCAAACAAGCTTGGCTTTATTGCTCCAAAGAGGGGTCGTCTTTATAAATTGCAATTCCATATTCTATCCGAACCCATAAGCAAGAGCAAAGCTTTTCGGAACACTAGTAATTCATCATTCAAGTTCTAAAATTTGTGGATTATATCATTCGATGGGGATTTTCATTGGATTATATAAAGTGAATCCCCAATTCGAAAAACTATATTACCCGGCAAACCCCAAGGACCAAACACATAGAAGCAGCAACATTATCAGAATTACACGTACAGCACCAAGCAACAACTCACCTGTGGATAGTTGGCAGGCGACAAGCGTTCCTCTTGAAGATGACGGTGAAGGTGCCGGAATGGTGGCAACGGCGTTTCTCCGGAAGGTGAGTGGAAAGTGAAAGATTCTCGCTCGACAGCGTTTGGCGGACCGGCAGTGGCGACACCGACGTGAGAGTTAGGGTGGAAGCTCAAACGGCGGAAACTAGGGTCGGCTATTTGTTTCGGGTTTTTTGGTTTTACCCGAATCGAACCGTATAACCCGGATCGAGACCTGACCGGGACCGGATAGTAAACAATCCAATTCAATTTTTGGGCTTAGATTTGAGGTAAAAAAACCGTTCGGGACCGGATCAAAAACTGGATAAAGACCTGATAAAAGAGCTCAACACCCAAGACTTAAGGGTAATTTGCATAAACGGTCACAAACCTTTGCACTTAGTACAAAACTTAACCAACTCCTCACCCTTTCAGACCTTAGGCCACTCAAATCCCCATAAGCTCAATATAAAATCAAGATTGAATTGGGACCGGACCGGGTCAAGATCGGACCGGATCAAGACCGGACTGTATCCAATCCAATCTTTGGTCCTTATGTTTTCAAAAAGACCGGACTTGACCAGATCAATTTGGGCCAATTTAACCGGACCGGACCGTATAGCCACCCCTAGCGGAAACCCCTGAGGGTTCAGACTTCAGAGCAGCCCTTTTGGTTTGCATTTTCCTTCTCACACCGCCAAAGGATTTCAGTAGTTAAACCCCTATCGACCCCCGGTTGGATCCGGTCCGACCCAAATCGGGCTTCAAAACGGCATACAGAACCTCAATCTGATCCCAAAAGAAGGATAAGAAGAGAGAGGAAAGGGAGCAGGGGAAAGAAAGAATGAAGATGGTCGGTAAGTCATGAAAGTTAGGTAGGTGTTATTTTGTGAGAAATAAGTTTTAAATAGATACATGTGAGATAAATTTCATTTCATTCGTTAATTTTTACCTTATTTGTACATATATTTAGAAAACGTATAAAACGGCACAAACCAATTGGACCCCAATCAGACCAATAAGTCTCAAACTCCTTGCTTGACCGGTTCAATAACTTAACCTGGTTTGATAACCTTGTCTGCACTGCACCTCATTAAACGACAACATATTTTGCGTTTGAGAAGATTCCTTGTAACTTGTGACTTGTATGAGTCATGACATGCATTGCGTATTTCAAAGCTTTCAAACAGGTTTATCCCGTTATATCGGTTTAACTAATAGTATGGTATGATCGGTGATACAATCGGTTTATGTTAGTTCAAATCAATTTTAGGAGAATATAGGCATATATTGGGTAAATTGCAAATTTAGTCACTAAGATTGTTACGTTTGATCAATAAAAATATTTTATTTCTTTCGTAATCAATAACTTTACATTTTCGTTTCACCGTTGGTCAATGGTCGCCGCTCCTTGTGGGTCATAATTTGGGTGCACGACTTAACTAAATACATCATCTTGAGCCAACTATAACTCAAGATGGCATTGGTAGTATAGTGGTTGACCAAGGTTGTATTCCATGGGTCTCGGTATCCTAGCCTATTTCTCACTCGGTTGTTATCTAGTCGATCGGGTTTTGGATTGGTTGGAGAAAAATTGGAAATAACTGGCAACGAAATAAAAAATGAGAAAGCAGGTACTCGCGGCATCGCCCTCGCCCTCGCCCTAGTTACTAGGTATGTCATGCAAGAAAATAGAATTGCCAGTTTATGGGGGATGAAGTGCGGGAATCACTAATATGAGAGCTAGATTAGTGGTCATGCAACTAATCTCCCTACTAATCCGATCCACGAACCCAATCTCACCTCAACCAGATTCACGAATTAGGAGCTTTTCAGATTATGTCACAGCTTGGAGGGAACAAGTCTAATTTCGACGAAGAAGAAATTTGCAACCTTCCGTCTCTACTTGGGAAGAATTAAGAGGTCTAATGCGTGATAGATTCCTGCCTCCTTATTATCAAAGGGAGCTCTTTGATTCGTTGCAAAGTCTGCGTCAAGGAACATGCCCCGTTGAAGAATACTTCCGAGAACTTAAACTGCCCATGATGAGAGCAGATATATGTGAAGATAAAGATGGTACTATCTCCAGATTCCTCCATAGACTTAATTGAGAGATTAGGCAGGAGGTAGAGTTTCGACTATTCGTGGAGTTGGAGGAGGTGGTACACCTAGCAATTAAGGTGGAAAAGCAGTTGAAAGCAACTGTGGAAGAAGGTATTCCCATGCGACCAAGCTTGCTCCAGGAGAATTAATGCCCCAACAAGAAAGCTCTGATTTTGTGAGATGGTGGATAAGTCTCTAGAGAAGAAGAAGAAGAAGAAGAAGAAGAGAAGCCAATGGGGACTGGGATCGATTCTGATGATGATGATGATGATGATGATGATGATGAGCACATCATTGTTGAAACCCCTCCAACAGGTAAATTTCTTGGAGACAATCGTAGGGTGCTCTCCATGGAAGCTTTAGCTGACAAAGAACAACGAGATAATCTATTTCACACGCGTTGTAAAATTGATGGGAAGTTGTTGTCATTAGTGATTGATGGTGGTAGTTGCACCAATGTCGTAAGCCTGGATGCAGCTAAGAAGCTGGGGATGAGTACAATCAAATATCCTCAGCACTATCCTCTTCACTGGTTGAATGAATATGGCTCTATCAAGGTTACTAAAAAAGTTAAGGTTCATTTTAAGATTGGAGAGTACGAGGATGAGATTTGGTGTGATTGACTTGCTCTGAATATCACAATAAAATCTCACCTAAGGCCCAAGTATAAACCTTAGGTGGGTGCAATATAGGGCAATTATGGTTAAATATCAACCCGGCCGACCCATGTACTGCTACTTCGACTGTTTGAAACATTATCTAGCAGATTAGTTTTTGGTGAAAACAAGGTCTAAAACTAAAGTCTTTGCAAATGTAAAATGGATTTGACACTAATTGAGAAGGCTTCACCCGGGTGTTGCTCCCCCTAGCTAACAATTACGTATCGAAGAATCGAACCACCGTGTGTGGTTAGGGGGTTATAAACCGCAGGAAAGTCTAACAAGTAACCAAGGCTACCCTCTTATTCTCTAAGCTGAGGAAATGGGATATGATCCAAGCCGCTAATGCGACCCTCTCAACCTATCGACTAAGGAATGGTTAGACTTCACCCTCGAATTGGAGTTCGGACAACCATCCACAACCAAACCCTAAGTGCTAGTACAAAATAGGAGGTTTGCCCTTAATTACCCTAGAATAGGAGGCATGACATGCCCAAGGAAACCCATCTCTAGTAGAGCCTCTTAGGTTAAGGAGGGTTCTCTCTAAACTAGTCTAGGAGGCTTTGAATGCCCAAGGAAACCCAGATCAAATTGGGCCTCTTTGGATAAAGGAGGTTTCTTCTCTAAACTAGACTAGGAGGCATGCAATGCCCAAGAACACCAATCTCTAATTGAGCCTCTTAACCTAAGGAGGTCTCCTCTCTAAGCTAGGTCAACAAAGCACACACCATCATCATGAAAATACCTCCACATTCACATTGAACACAACCACACACAAATCATTCAATTCTTACAAGCATTCACATAATTGTAGCTAGAGTATATAAACACCCAAGTGAAAGAAGAGACTACTTCATGCTAGGAGAAGGGAAATCACAAGAGAGGGAAAGGAAAACCATTAAGATGAAAGCCTTGCTCCTTGTGTTGAGAGATCCTCATTTGGGGGAAGAATTCCCAAATCCTTGCTTGGAGATGTAACCCTATCTTCTCCTCTTCTTTGGTTAGTCACTTTCTCACTCAAAAAAACGAAAATAAGGAAAAGAAAACAAACATACATTGGGTTGCCTCCCAACAAGTGCTAAGTTAACGTCACTAGCTTGACGTTGCGGATCTATCATGTTTTGGAACATGATGCCACCAAGAGTGAATCTGCCACGTTCTCAGGGCGAGGCTTATAGCCTCCCAATTTAAGCTCCATGGGGTGGCCTTCTTGGCCGATGACCTTAGCTTTGCCCTTCTCCTTCCTTCGAGCCAAAGCTGGCTTCATCTTTTCCCTCCAAGCTTTCTTCCTTCTTTCTTTGGGCATAGTACCCTCCTTAACTTCCTACTTCACAACAACACAAGAATCTCCAGTAATAGCGGGGTTTGCCTTGATAGGCTCTCCTCCACTCACATTCAAGTCATCTGACACCAACTCCTTCACATCCTCACTTCTAGCCTTAGGTTCAATTTCAAGAGTGATCCACTCCTCACCATCCCTCAGAATCAAGGTCCCCTCATTAACATCAATTAATTCCTTGGCGGTAGCAAGGAAGGACGACCTAGTATGAGTGGCATATCCGAGTCCTCACGTATATCAAGAATCACAAAATCCGTCGGATAGCAAAACTTGCCCACTCGTACTAACATGTCCTCCACAATGCCCCTAGGATTAATGACCGAGCGGTCGGCTAATGTGACACTAAGCTTAGTGGTCTTGAGTTCACCTAGGTCTAACCTTTTGAAAAGCTTATAGGGCATCACATTGACACTTGCTCCTAAATCTGCCTAGGCATTTTCTATGTGATGGTTACCAATACTAAGAGGGATAGTGAAGCTACCTGGATCGGGTTGCTTCTTGGGCCACCGGTTGAGGATGAAGGCTGATCACTCCTCGCCTAGAGTCACGTTGGCGAGGTTTTCGAACTTTCGGTTTCTTGGTGAGGAATCCTTTGAGGTACTTTGCATACCTTGGCATGTGAGCAATAACTTCAAGTAAGGGGATGTTGAGGTGGAGATTTTGGAGCATCTCCATTAAGCCTCCACATTCCGCTTCCAACCTCACCTTGTACACCCTTGTGGGGAAAGGAAGAGGTGGCTTGTACTCAGCCACCGG